GGGTAGAGAGTGAGAAGTCTGGTGTTTGTGGCCAGGAGAGGTCCAAACTGAGCTATCTGACGCCTCTCCATTAACCAGTAACCTGTGCCAGTGCTTAACAAGGAAGGTTGTGGAATCCCTGTCAGTGAAGGTTTTTAAGCACAGGTTAGATGAACACCTGTCAGGGACAGTCTAGGTATAATTAAGGGGGTGGACCAGATGTGAGGGGGTGGACCAGATGACCTTTCTATGATTGTATAATTTCATAGAGCCGTTCTGGAGCTTTCGTCCCCAAGAGTGGGGGATCTGTTGAGATGGGAGTCTATTGAGAAGAAAATTCCTTCTCTGTGATTGTTGTGGGATGACTTCCCACTCCTTACAGAGCTGAGGGTTCTTTCCATCACTTTCTATGTGTGGCAGTAACTTCACTGTCTGCTCTAGGAGGAGCTGCTGGGCTTGCATTCCACAGCAGGGACTGGCACGAAGCTTGCCCTTTGAGCCTGGAATTCCTGTCTAAGGCCTGGGCAGAGTCTGGACCCTGTTTTGACTAGATCTCTAGAGCAGTGGTTCTCAAGCAGGGGTACATGTACCCCCCTGGAACATCTCTGCATACCACCAGAGGTACATCAACTCATCTAGATATTTATATGTAGCCTGTTTTACAACAGGCTACATAAAAAGCACTCGCAAAGTCACTACAAACTCAAATTTCATACAAACAGTGACTTGTTTATACTGCTCTATATATCATACACTGAAATGGCAGTACAGTATTTATATTCCAATTGATTAATTTTATAATTATGTGGTAACAATGAGAAAGTAAATAATTTGTCAGTAATAGTGTGCCTGGAACACTTTTGTATTTTTATGGCTGATTTTGTAAGCAAGTCGTTTTTAAGTGAGGTGACACTTGGGGGTACAGAAGACAAATCAGGCTCCTGAAAGGGGGTCAGTCATCTGGAAAGGTTGAGAGCCACAAGTCTAAAGAACAACAGTTACAGGTAAGTAACAGTCTCCTCCCTTTTTTCCTTCAGCGGCCAGCACTTTCAGTTGGATGGTCAGTTGACCTCCGGGTCTAAGTGGGAGTGGGTCTAGGCATTGGTATTAATGACAGCATAGACGTTTGTTGCAGTCCATAGGAAAGAAAAACAGATTTGCTGCTTCTCGGCGGTGCATTGTTAAAGGTTTCACCTCCCCCAAAATGACACATTGCGAGCAAAAATAGAGCAAGACAGAACACACAGACCCACCCACACCATCCCCACCACCAGGCAGCCAAGTGCAATCAATACCAAACCCTTTATTTTAAAGCTGATGCTTTTTCACCCTCCCTCTCCTCAACCCCACCGCCATCTGCTGCCAGCCATTGCTAGTGTTCCTGTGCCCTAGTGCACTGACCAGCACAGCAGGGGGTGGTAGTCATTGACAGTCTTCTGCCTGGAGACCAACTGCAGATGTTCCTGAGCTGGCTCCATGACTACCCTGTCCCCTGGGAGATAATCAGTGGGAGGGACTGTTTTCGCTGTGTGATGGCAGGAAAGGCTCTCTCTGGAGGTGGGGCTGGTGCTACTAGATGGCCCTGTTGAAGCAAGACTAGCAGCATGTTTGACCATCAGGGCTGTCTTCCCATGAGCACGTCCAAGTCTCAGCCTGGCAAGAGGCAATAATGGAAGAAGCTGCCTTGAGTCCTCTCTGCCCTGGTCATTTTGAAATGATGCAGCCATCCCAGTATTTCTGAGGAGAAGGGATCAGCTGTTTTCTAGCTTATCTTCCCACTTCAGCTAAGAAGCTCTAGCCAGTTACCTTATGCTGCTAACACAAAGGATCATATAAGCCAAGCAGGGCCAGACCAGGGTGGTGTTTGGACGGGAGGCCTCGGTGGGAAACCCAGGTTGCTGCACAAAATGATGTTGGTGAGTCAGTGAATGGTGCCATTTCTTCTGGGTCAGTACTGAACCCAATGCCCTCCTGTGGTGGTAGCAGGAGCTGTGTTCAAAACTGAGGTCCTGACCACTTCTTTCATTAAAAATCCCCTGTTACCCCTGCACAAGGTTAGGGTGTTAACCCTACTGCCTTGGTAAGTTTCCACTTGCGTAGTTCCATCCTGCCTTTCTAAATCACCCATTTTTAATGTCCTGGCCCAAATTCTGTGCACTGTTGCTGTGCTTTTAGAGACAGCCGCCCTATTCCACCCCAGAAGTGGGTTCACAGATCTCTTACCTGCATTTTGAGGCTGAAAGATTCTGTGGAAAGACAAAGCATTACCTAGTTTTGGAGAAGTAATTAGACACCGATGATGGAACTCTGTTCTTCCTAACGCTACCTGTGTTGCAGCCTTGCTGAGAAGGCTTGGGACAGGATTGCTGCTAACTTCCACTTGCCCTGTTGCTGGGTGAGATGGGAGCAGGGGAAGGAAATGGCCATTCTTTGCATTACCTCAGTCTGTGGTATCCCTATTATGTGAGTCTCTCTAGGAGGCAGCATGGCTTGGTGGCATGAACGCAGGAATGGGAGGGGCTTTGGGCAAGTCACCCTGCCTCAGTTTCCCCATCTGTAAATAGTGGGTAATACTGGTTTACTTCCCAAGGCTGTTGTGAGGCCCAACTCATGGCTGGGCTGCGAAAGTGTGCTCCAGCCATGCCTTGGTGAGTACTACGTGTCAAGATGACTTCCTTCTTCGGGGCCGTTCGGCTCCAGCACAGTAGCTGCGTTTTGATGAGCTTCAGCTTGTTTGCCCAGTTTTCCCAGCAGAGACGCACTGGTGTCAGTCTGGGAGTGCGACAGCCTGTTCTCTCCAGGCCTCGCAAGCCCTTGTTAAGACTGACCTTTGCCACAGGAGGGTGACCTCTGAGCACTCTCCTTCTCATCTGCCTTGCAAAGTGGCTGCTGCAATTAGAAATGCAGAGCAGCCCTTTAAAAAGCAAACCGCCTTGTCATGCAGGTTGGGGTGCGGACACAGAACGTGCTCAGTGGAAAGAGAAATGGAGCGGCTGGAGATTCCCTAGCGGGAAGTCATTCTGAAGCCCCTGCTTGTAGATTAAAATGAGATGCAAGCTTTAAGTAACCCAGGAGAGGCCTGTAAACTCGCCTACAATACAGTCGTGAATAGCTATTCTCCCAGCTTCAGTTTGTGAAATAAAAATCCCAGCCTGCCTTTTGCTAGCTGGTAGGAAGCCCCAGACATTGATCCAGTAATGCTCCTGATGACCCACCTTTCTGATGTCGCCCTCTTTGGTGTATGTTATTTAAATGACAATAATACAGTTGTGTTTTATGAGCTACTTGAGTCCCCAAGTAGATACCCTGAGCGGCTGAAGGGGGAAAACTGATTAGAATGAAACAGGACTGTGGTCCCATTACTTACACAGCCATATGGAATTAAGGTGAAAAAGGTGTGCCGCCTTTGGCTTTCTTCTCATGGATAACGGAAACCTGGAATGTTTGTTTGCTTATTCTGCTGTTATTTTAGAAATATCAGGCACATCAAATTCTTTCCTGTTTTTGTAGGATGACTCTGTGGAGGACCAGAGAACTGGAGCAGCAGCTTTCTCAGCCCTTAGTTGGAGTGGAGGTGTTGCATGTTTCACAGAAAGCTTTTTCTCCCCGTTGTTTGTTAAGGGTTTGAGTTAAATAGGCACTAACCAAAAAGACCCTCTCCGAATTTGAAATTACCTGACCCTTTCTCAATAGCTCTTGTAATGTCCTCATTCCCCTAGCTCTCCAGCCCTCGCCCAGCAAAGCCAGATAAATTGAGACCTGATTATTTCTGCTGGAAACAAGCAAGCAGGACCCCTACTTTTTTTTTAAATCCCTTCGCCCTCCTCCCCCCACCACCGCTGGGCTGCCTTTATACTTCAGAGGGCCAAATGCGATTCCCGCCCTTTATAAAAAAGCATTGAGAATGGAGGAATTGATTAGGGTAATACAGAGCCTGACTCTGGATATGGGGGATCACCCCACAGATTGGTGACTTATTACAAAAGGGATTTATTTGATGAATAACCACCGCTGTTTTCAGTAACCCTTATGCAGCACACTAGCTCTCTTCCCTCATGGGTGGATGAGAAACATGGGTCTCTCTGTATACCTCAGCTACTTCTATAACCACCCATTGACGTAGTATCTGAACCCCTCGTGATCTTTAATGCAGATGGAGACCTGAGGCCCAGAGAGGCTAAGTGACTTGCCCAAGGTCTCGCATGAAGTCTGTGGCAGAGCAGAGGAATTGAATCTGGCTCTCCAACAGCCCAAGCTAGCATCCTAACCACTTGACCATCCTTCCTCTCCCCATGAAGCATGTGGGTGTGTGGGATAACCATAAAGTGCTTTTTCAGACAGTTCTATTGAGGCATTCTCCTTGCATGGCAACATGACAGTCCAGAGTCTCGTCAGTAGCAGTAGCTGCTGCTGACACCAGGACCCTGAGTTGGAATTGATTTTTGTTTTATTCACGCTGTGCAGGTATCTAAAGTGATCACGTGGCTTGGAAATCATTAGCCAGTTTGCCCTCCCAAGATGACTCTGCCGGTCGTGGGCGAGGGTGTTGTGGGGCGTCTGAAATCTTCCCCTGCGCTTTCATTTTCAATTTGTCCCCCAGTGCTTTCGGTTCCTGAAATCTGTAGGCGGTTTTGGAAGCTGGCAGCTGGAACCAACCAGCAAGAACGCTGGTTCTCTGCTGCCATGCCAACCCCGTCTCCATGGAAATGGAGGCCCAATGGGCGAACACCAGGCAAATCAAACTTTGTCAAAGTGTTTCAAGACCCTCCTTAAATCTCTGCTCTGGTCCATTTCCACAGGGACAGGACATAGCAACAAGCAGCTGAGCTTGCAGAGCTCAGACCCCTCAGCTGCTGCCTTGTGTGCGCCCCTCGGACCTGGTGCTCTCGTTTGTTAATTTCAGCAAGTGGTTTCAAAACCACTGCTTTAATAAGACTGGCGACATCTTATTTTTACCCCTTGAACTCTTTTAAAAAAAAAAAAAAAAAAAGACCTAATTTAATTAAAATCTGTGTCTCTTATATAATCTTCAGCATGCAGTTCTGCTGGAAACCACCCACACTTGGTTGGTTGAAGGCCTAGCAGTGCGTGGGTGCTTGCATGGGGGATAGGTCCCTTGGGTGGGCCGTCTTGTGGGCCCGTTACATTACCTGTTACATAACTCACTGTAGCCCTTGTTTATATTAATCAAGATCGAAGACTAGGTACGTGTCAAAACATTTTAAAATAACTCAGACTTTTGTTAGCGCTGCAGCTATGTTTAGAAACGATTTTTTAAAAAAACCAAACCCTTCTTGTGAGATTAAAATGAAAGCGATTGTATCTGACAGTGATTTAAAGGGATGTTTACAAGTTAGGAATCTCATTTCCCGCTGAAAATTTTATGGATTACTGTTATAAATACCCCATAAGATTCCTATAGCTATGAAAACAATTGTTTGTTTTTCTTTAGTGTTCCCCTTATGCACTGGCAACTGTTTTGTGTGGAGTTACTTTCACTGTTTTGTTGGTCAGTTACGCGTCCTGTCTTATGCTCTAGCTGATCTCACCGCTGTGCGGCCAGTCCCATGCCTGCTCTGCTTTTGACTGGGGTAGAGGGCTTGTGTGCATACATACTGTGCCCCTCATACCTTGCAAAAGGGTGTTTACCGGTAATAACAGCTGCAAAACTGAAACGGAGAAGTCGGCAAACAGGCCTGTGCCCAGAGAGGAAGGAGAGGGTGCGTTCAAGCATATTTGGTGCTGCCACTCTTCCCTGCTGGATAGACCCTTGCAAATATCACAGGGGAGCAGAAAACACCTTTTGCAAATCAACGTTTTATAAAGGAATTTAGGTAAATAATTGTTTCCGCATTGTTTAAAAGGGGCTCCTCAGACTCTGGAATCGTTTAAATTGTCAGTAGGAATTTTTTAAATGTACCCGTGTCCATTTAGACAGGTAATCCGGAGCTACAGGTCCCAAAATGCTCCTCTACTGCACCAGTTCTTAAAAAAACCACCACACAACAAAGCTGTTAGCTCAGACTATGACAACTCTTCAAGCGTCTTACTAGGCAAATCTTGCCGTCATCTCTAGATTAGAAACCCATCAGAGCCAAGGCACTTAACGTTTGTTTCCTAAACACTAATTTCCTCATATGGCAGTTAGCTTTAGGGTTGTTGTTGTTTTTTTTTAAGGTGAATGCAAAAGAAAAATAAGACCTGAGTGTAGTCCAGATTCTGATGCCAAAGCTCCTGTCTGTCTAACCAGGCTTGGGGGTGGGCTGGGGGGAATCAGGTAACCCAGATTCCATTAATTTAAAAAATCTTCTTTCTCCCTCTGTGGAATTCTTCTCCTGGTACTTCCTGGCTCAGCAAAATGATCTCGGAACACAAGACCGCAAATACCAGGTGCCTTTTTTGCAATCTATGGCATTAATTATGTCAGAGTGAAGCATTGTGGGATATCTTCACTGAGCCCAGGGATACCAACAAAGAATGTTAAAAAGTTAGTCAAAGCTGGTGCATGGGGTCTCTGCACTAGATTCTGGGTGGGCTTCCCTCATTCTTCCCTTTTATTTTGAAGTTCCCCTTTGAGTAACACAGAGGAGAAATGTTTAAAGGGGCAATACTGTAGTCATGTTTTGGGGGAGGGGTTCTAGCTGTAGCCCCCATCAGCTACGCGTTGGCTATAGCCCACCTTCTCTTTCCAGCTGTTCTCATACTGCCCAGTCTACTTCCTTCTCGCCAGCTACCTCTGTGAGCACCTCTCTCTGGTCTGGCCAGGGCAGGCAGGTAGGCTGTGTGGACATGGTGGCTTCTTCTGTACCACTCCATAGAGTGGCAGCAGGTCAGGAAGGCTATGCTAAAGGACAGCAGCCTGTGTCCACCATTGTGGTGTCTCCCTTGTTGCTGGGTTCATCTAGTTCAGCACCTTGTAAGTAGCCAAAGGAAATCTGAATATTCCTTAGAAAAATCCCAGTGTGCCTCCGTTCACCAGTTCCTCTCTCCTCATCGGGTTGTCATGTTCCCACGTGTGCTGAGGTCACTGGGTCAGGCTAGACATGCCTTGGCTGGTAATAGCCTTTGTCTGGAGGTTGGAGACAGAGGGGCCTGGACGCACTGCGTGTTGATCCCTTTGCACATTTATAGTCATTCCTTCCTAGGTTGGCCATGGGAGTTTCTGCTGCAAACACAAGTGGGGAAAGGCACCGGTATTAGACACATTGAGTCTACCTGGGCCATTAATAAGCAGCAAACTGGCAAGGCAGGTGACACCCCTCTCTCCGCACAAAGGGTCCTGGGACTGGGGAAGACTTGTGGGAGCCTGGAGCTGTTTCAAACCTGTTCCCTTAGCAGGTGTCCCTAGCAAAGAGAGGTCCCAGGGAGTGGGCAGCAGAGTGCCTCTCAAGTCGCTCTTCGGTGCTCCTTGCTCTGCCACCAGGTAGCCGATTACAGGCACAGCACTCTCCATCTGCCTCGCCCAGCGTGTCCTAGCGTTTCCCGCTCGCCGCGTGCCGAGCCACTTGACACCTGCCATCTCGCTCTTTCCCCTCAGGAGGCAGGAGCAGTTCCAGACCAACCCTGACAGTTACAATGGAGCCGTGCGAGAGAACTACACCTGGTCCCAAGACTACAGCGACCTGGAGATTAAAGTGCCGGTGCCCAAGCACATTGTGAAAGGCAGGCAGGTAATGAGCACCCGTGCTGTCAGCCTGTGACGGGTGACGAGCTCCCCATCGCCCCAGCCTGCCAGTGTGTTGCTTCTTAGCAGCTCTAATTGCCTGCAAAGCGATGCTGAACTGTGATAGAGCAGGCGTGCGCATGCTAGAGGTGCCCCAAACTTGCCCACTGAAGGCCATGCCTGATTCCCTTTCAGTGCAGCAGAATGCAGCTGCCTCCTCTCATGCAGGCATGCGTGGCCTGTGCAGACGCTGATCCCCTGGCTTGATCAGCGCACCCTACCCCTGCAGACCCCTGACGCTGCCTCAGCTTCCCGGGAGGAATACAATGACATATTTCCTCTTTCTTCTCCACTCCCCCTCGCTTGAAACCCAGATGCTGCCTCTGAGTGGCTACATTATACACACACACACTGAAACCCAGACCTTGCCTCCAAGCTGAGGTTTCCTAAGGAAATGCGTTATCCAAACTGGTGTAATTAAAGGCCAGGTCGTCCCACACGAGGTCCCCGTTTCTCTCAGACTGCCCCGTGGCTCGCTGCTCTGTAGCTTTATTTTGTGCTGCTGTAAGAGAGCTGCCTGCAGGGTGGATTCAAACAAGTGCAGCTCATGTGACTACAGCTGAGGCATGCGGCAGAGTGGCCTGCTTCATTTCACCCCAGACTGTTTTCCTTGGACTCACAAGGGAATGGGAGCTGGGTTTAGTGAATGAGGCAGATCCCTTTGACCATCCGATCCCCCTCCCCTGTTCTCCCTGCTCGCTTAGCGCTTGTGGGGAAGCCCTGCCTTTTTGAATGTGAGTTGATCTGACAATATTGTCAGGTGGGTGGATGGAGGGTTTTTTTTTTTAACCTGGCAGAGACCCATTGGCAAGTGACCTGCAGGAAAATCTACAGGTAGCTGTAGCTGCCCTTCCTCCTCCACGCTTCCTGCCCTGTGAGCATCTCATTGCTGGGCTGGACAGTGGGTTTGGGGTAGCTAATGTAAATTACACCCCTCTTTGGTTTGTTCCCACTCTGTGATCTTATTGGTGGGGGCGGGTTCAGGGGAGGGGTACGCAGACACTGGCTGTTCCAGCCAGAGGTTTATTTTTACTTTCCGTTGTCCTAGAAGCCTTTAAAGAGGCCCCCACCGACTTTGTATTTTTCCATTTGGGAAATATGTTTTTTTTCCCCTTCCCCTCTGTTTTCAGGGCAGCTGAAATGAGCACAGTCGGTTTTGTTCACCAACTTCAACCTACATAGCTCTGTATCCGAAATAGCTTTGTTTGTGCATCAACATAATTGACAGTGGCAGCACAGACGTAGGGAGAATATAGTTAACTGCTGCTGCGGGGCCAGCAGGGGGCACCCAAGACACCCTTTTTCTATAGGGTCTATAAAATGAAACAACCATTTCTTGCTAGGTCTGAGAAAACAACACCTGCTTCTACCTTGTTTTGCAGTGAGGGGCTTTTCCTCTTCGGGAACAGCCTTCAGGCCAGTGAAGTTCTGCGCCTGACTTGAAAGCACAGTGCTGTCTGCATATGGTGCCAGCTTGAAGGAGCAGGGCCCTCGCGTGGGAGGTCCTGCACTCTGGTACTGCATGGGTGCACTGCAGAGCCACCCTTCATTCTGATGGTGCTGGATCCTCCAACCCCCTTTTTGCATCATGAGCTGAAGGCCGCTAGCAACTAGAGAAGGGACAGGAGAGAGAGAGGAATGTTAGTGTTCACTCTCTTTAGAAGAAAGAGGGGCAGAAAGAAACCTCTGGCTCGTCGTTCTTTCCTTTTTCTTTTTCCCTCCTTTCCTTTTAATGAGCATCCCAGCATGACCTTGGGGGTGACCCTGCTGTCCCTGGCAGCAGAGTTTGATGGCTGATGTAGTCACTTCATGTTATTTTTTAGCTCAGTTTACATTACTTCTCCTTTCCCTGCATGCAAATACGTTTGCCAGATGTCAGCCCGATTCCACTGCAGAGACTAATCTTGGTAATCAGGAAACTGAACTGGCTTAAAGATGGTTTGTCTCCCCCAGAGCTGGTTGGCTAGATTGTGATTAGGAAAGCCCAACGCGACCTGCTCACAGATGCTCCCGACTTGTGCCACGTTCTCTTCAGATCTCACAAACGAAGGTGGATGGGAGACCACCTAGGATCTGTAAGAGTGGTGTTGGTGACTCGTTAGGGGTGGTCTCCCCTGTAAGCTGGTTCTGAGTCAATTCCCCAGCACAATGCAGGAGGTGCTATGTGGCTAAAGGTGCTGTCTTTTAAATGAGATGTAAAATTGAGCTCCCGGTGACTGGTGTTCCTTAACGTTCCCAAGGCATTTATTGCAAGGGTCAAGGTGTAAGCGTCTTGTCCAGATTCCACCTCCTCTTCTTCCTCTCCAAACACCCCTGCAGGTTCAACTGGATTTGAGCTCTCTTCATTTATTGTCCTACACAATTGTGTAGTGATGCCACATGCTGTTAAACAGCTGGCCTGGCCCACCACAGAAGTGGCTGCATTTCAGTGGTGGGTCAAGTAATCGCTGTTTTCGCCCTCATCTACCCCATGGAGGGGTTTAATCTGAATGAATGTTTCCAAGTGTTCTGACGCTTTCGGAAGAGGATATAGTTTACGGCACTCGGGCCTGAATGGAGTTGTACTCATGCAGATAGCTGCTCTACAAGCTTTCCCACAACACCGTGCCGAGGTTTAGATGGGAGGAAGGAGTTCTTACTTCTGCACGGGAGAATATGCCCGGCTGGGCTGCTGCACAGCCCTACGATTTCACGTTTCTCCTCTCTAATAACATTGGCAAGGTGGCATGTGTGTGACCGCAGGCATGGCCCTCTGCTTCAGGAAGGGGTGTCCTGGGGATAGGCAGGGTTAAGAAGGGGTTGGCTGGGGGAGGGAAACAGGAAGTGACACCATTCGTGTCTTTTCATCCAGTCCTGGTCCCCCGGCACAGAAACTGCAGATCTTTCTAACCTGCAGCACCGCCACATTCCCTGCTGTGGGCAAAGGCCCTGGGAGGATTGGAGTGAGGCCACCAGTCTGCAAGCTGTGTGGCTGTGAGCTAAGCTGTGGCTGACCCCAGCTGTTCAGAGGTGACGGTAACATCTGAATCATCAGTCGTGGGTTTCTAGCATGCACTCCCCTTGTCAGACGACGGCTGTAGTGAAGCGGTTCACACACATGGTAATGTCACCCTCTCTTTCATCTATCCAGTGTCATGGAAGCAACTACATAGCTAAGGTTGCAGCTGAGTTTTCATTTAAACCAGATCTTGACCCACTCTAAAATCCACAAAAACGTCCGTATCTCCATCAAAATGGATAGGCTAGGTCAGGGGTCAAAGTATATTTTTTCTACCAAATTTGAAAGTAAATGGACATAGGATTTGTGAATGACAGCAGCTTGCAAACTGGAAGTGTTCACCCATGTTCTACAAAAAAGCGTACTCTTTTCCTACTTGGTAGCAAAAAAGCCAAAGTAAAGTGAGATTAAAATGCACTTCACTGGGCTTTCTTGGCTGTGAACTAGTGCCCAGCACCAAAGATGATTTAAAATCTCATTTTAAACATGATTAACTTTTGATTTAGGACAGTTGCTATGGCATTTTGGCTCAGGCAAGCTTAAATGTAGCTGTCCCTGGACTGTCCCTGGAGGAGCAGCCGCTGGAGACTGGGAGGGTAGAGGTTCCTCTCTCTCACCGTGAACTCTGATTGAGTGTAGCCCCCCTCCCCTCCCATCACATTAGTATGAGTGCCTCCCCAGAACTTGAACATAGAAATAACGACGACAAATCTTTCTTCCTTCCCAGCCTGTAGGAAAAATAGCTGGATTAGTTCATAGGTTTTTTGTTTGCTTGCTTGGTGTGGGTGTGTGTGGGTGTATTTGTGTGTGAAGAAATTATTGGGGCTGAAAGCGACATGGAAGAGCTGAGTTCTGAACTCAGCAAGGCCCACAGTCATTCTGCTCTCTTGTGGGAGTTGGTTTCATAGTCTAGGCACGGCTCCGGTGAAAGTTCTGTCTCCTGCACCCTTGCGTCCCATCTTCCGTGACTCCAGTGGAATGGAGTTGTCATGGGAAGTTGTGGTGGTGGCGGGGAGAGGCAGCTAGGGCAATCCAATGGGGGACTTTGAGCATCAGGGACAGAGACCTTGAATCGCTCTCTATATTTAATGGGGCGCAACTGCAGAGAGTGGAGCCGGGGGGTGATGAGATCACAGTGACCTGAATTGCTAAGCAGACTGGTTGCTGTGTTTTGTGTTCGTTGGAGCTTCCTCAGGCTGTGTGGCTTCATTCTGGATATGAATTGAAATCATCAAGCCTAGAAGTCTCCAAATGCATGAGTCCTTGTGGCCAAGAGTGTGCGTGTTTGGATGGGGCACGATCATCTGGCCTATCACAGGTGCAGATGTGGCATTTCTGCAGCTACTTGGACATCCATGAGCCCAGAGGAGCTAAAAAGGGCCCCGAGGCTCCAGGCCAGCTTAACAATCTGAAGGGCTGATGCACTCAACAGTGTGGGAAATTTTAAAACCACAACTTCTTCCCACCAACATCGCTTCAGTCTTGCCTGGCTGCAGTTTAGCAGCTGCTCTGAATCCAGGGGCTGGTTTTGGCTAAGCACTGAAATAGCTGGGAGGTGGGGCTGCAAGCCCTTCAGGAATGTAATCATGTATTTCTTTTCCGTCAAGGTGGCCTCCCTGGTAGCCATCACCTCTGCTCAGAAGGCATCAGACTGTAGGGTCTGATCTACTGAGGAACGCTACTGCACATTCTGCAGTGATGGTGTGATTCTTTGAGCAGAGTTGGGCTGTATCCCAAAAATTAACTCATTGAGCCTAGAAAATTGTGCTCCCTGCTTTGTCCAAAGCCATCTTGCCCAAGAGAACAGCTGGTCTAGAGCCTTCAAGATCTACATCCACTGCACGCAGGAGTCCCAAGTTCAATGCTCTATTTATTCTTTACCATCTGGCATCTACAAGGGAAAAAGTATCAAAATCTGCTATTTCAAAATGGTTAAAATGGTGCATCCATGAGGCCTACAAGTCAGTGTCTCTGTCCAGCAACCAGCATCCAAGCCTACTCTCTCTGAGAGCGGTAGCAGCCTCTGATGCACCACGTTAAGCCTCAGCAGGTGCTGCCTTTGGTAGGAGGGTGCACCACGTTGTGCCATCCCAGGAGTAGAGAAGGAATTTAAAACCCTGTCATTCTGTTTGCTCTGAACCCTCCCTGAAGGTGTACTGCTATAAAAATCCCATTTGTTAAAGGATCTGTGCAACTAGTGGAATAGGAAAACTTATTCTGATGTATTGAAAATTTCCTTTCTCTGAGTTCCAAGATCTACAGCTCCGACCCCCCCCCCCCCCTTCGTTTAGAGTATTTCTTTGGCCTGTTTGGCTCATTGATTAGTTCGTGACGGTATGTTCTGCTGTTGGAACTCAAGTTCATTGCTAGTGTGTATAAGCTTGTTTGGAAATTTCAGTCCACAGGGGATATTATCCTGTGCTGTGGAAACAGTTTCAACTTGTGCATTCTTTGGTGTGGTTAGCCAAACCTTCCCATATCAATGACTGACAGGTCTGGTTTTGACTATGTATATTCAGGCTGAGAGCCCATTGGTTAATGGATCTGCGTCCTTGTAACTCAGAGAGGAAATTTCCAATAAATGTTCCTATTCTGGGAGCCTAATTGTGTTGTATCAGGGTCTCTCTTGTCTTTAGCCCATGAGTGCTTATAGATCCAGAGCTCCCCCAATGAAACAGCAAGTCACGTCCGTCTGGGGAATCCTGGTGCCATATCACTTAACAGATCAGCTTGGATTGCCTCTCCATCCGCCCTGGGTCTCTCCACAATCTCCGCACTCTCCCCCCGGCTGTACCTTGCCCTATAGTTTCTAATAGGTGTCATTTCAAATACGAGAAGCCATACTCCATTGACTTTATTAAAAATAATACTGCTTTCCTGGCATGCTCACCACCTCCTGGCATCTTCCTGAGGCTGATCTTCTTTGAAACATTGCCGTAAACTTCTCAGGTCCTGGGCACACTTATCCTGGCCTTGTTACTGCCCAGTGTCTGGTTGTTCCTAAGAGGTCACTTGGAAAAGTACATCCAGCCTCAAGTGTCTTCTCTTTTAGCCACCTCAGACTAAAGAGATTGCAGGCTTGTTTAAGGATTCATTTGTTTGCTGAACTGTGGCTAAATCACGGACCGCCGCTTTGGAGGCTGCCGGCTTATTCTGTGCCATGCTGTGGGAGCAGTACCCTGCAGAACTAATTCTGCTGAGAAACTGCCTGTGGTTAAACCTCTGACAGCTCCTGTCTTCCCTCAACTCTGAGAGTTACCAACGAAAGGGGCCAGGCTGAGAGTCCTTGAGGCTGAAAGCCCTCTGTCCACAGAGCAGCAGCCGGGCTCTCTTCACAACCCCCTTCTGGAAGGCCTTCGCCCTGCCTTGGAGGGGCTCATCTCCAGGGGTGAGAAAGGTAGCTGGCTCTGTGGCGTGGCCTCTCTGAGAGGCTACATGGGACGTGGATTCCCTCAGCTCAGTTCACAAAGGCCCACAAACATCTGTCAGATAGAAATTTGCTTCCAGTCATGTCTGCCCTGGGCTGGATCGAAACAGGAGACTTAGTGCTGTTACCAGTCCCCTGAGCCAGCCAGTTCTCCCAGTTCCTTTGTTCCTGAATTCCCCTTGGGCTCCTCTCAACGGGTCTTTTGTTTGATTTAGAGACTCCACTCAGCTTACACGTGGGTATTTTAGATACATCCGTCTTGCACAGTCTGGGTTGAGCAGTATTTAAGCTTAGTGGCTCTTGCTTTCCCTGTTTTCCCCCTCCATTGTGTGCACTGGGTGTTCTCAGGTCCTCTCCAAAACTTGACAGGGACCTGTCAGAAGTGGCTCATTTTTTGGTTTTATCTCTGTGGCATCTATCAAATGCAATTGTGGTGCAGTCCTTGACTGGAGCAGCTTCAGTCTATTTCCTGCCCGCACTGAGTCACTAGAAATCACCTAGGTAATGGATAATGTAAGAACATTTCAGATGAGAACCGCAGAGCAATATCTGGGGGAACTCTGGGAGAGTGTTTAGGCAAATCTAGTGGTAACCCCCTCGCCTCAGCGCTAAGGCAGTGTTCTTTCCTGAATGTGTTTTTATAGAGGGAGAGTCGGGCTCCCCCCAGATCCCTTTCTTCAGTGACTGCAGCTTGAGGCTGGGGAAGAAAGAACAGATGGTCTCTTCTGAGACTGAAAGTAACACCCCTCCATGAACCAAGCCAGCAGTTGCCTCCACCTCCTTTGGGAAGAAGCATGTCCCCTCCACAGCAGGTCTGATCAGGGTCTCCCATATGGCAGCATTGCTGCTGTGTGAGGGACCTGGCCTCATTCCTGTAAAGGGCATGCCAGGAATAAAACCTTTCTTGACTTTGCTGTCAGCGCTGTCTCTTTGCTTCCATTTCCTGCCCTGTCCTAATCTGTGCTGTTGCAGGGGCAGCGGGCCATGTTCCGCCCCCACCCCCATGACCCACATGCTCTCCAAGCCCTACCACGGATGCAGCAGGAGGCATAGGACCCACCCAAGATCACAATTTTCATGCTGTTCTTCGTGTTGATTCTGGAATCTCCATCAGTTGCAGGTGTTGACGTTAAAGCACATGCCAAGCTGTCTTTCTCCCCCCTCCCCCAAACCCAGCAAGTATGCCTTGTCTTTAGCACACGAGTGAAGAATTCAGGGAGAGAGAGAGAGACACTTCAACCCTGTGGAATCCTTCGCAGAATAGAAATCCCCTCCTCATTCCCCCTGTTCTCAAAGCTGGGGCATGCACTCGAACTGCAGCAATAGCAAAGGGCACATGAAGAAGTCCCCAGTAGAGTAAATGACTGCACATACGTGGTTTTCCATCTCCCTGAAGCTGTGGCAGGATTCCCAGCCTCCGTGCTATATAAAGAGCTGATTGGGGATGAGAGAGAGGAAAGCAATGAGTGCACTCGACCCCCCCGCCCCAGCAAACACGGGGAGAAAGCAGGAGGGAAGGTCCCTTTTGATTTCCTTGTCTCTGTGCTTCCAGGTGTCGGTGGATCTCAGCAGCAGCTCAATTCGCGTGGCCGTGCTGGAGGGGAGCAGCCAGCATGTCCTCGTGGAAGGGAGACTCACCCACAAGATCAACACGGAGAGTTCCCTATGGAGTCTGGAACCAGGGAAATGCATCTTGGTAAGAGCGGCCTCTTTTGGGCACCTCCTTCTCACAGTCACGCAGCGGGAGAGCGGGAGCAACACGCACATTGGCTTTGTGTGTCCTTGCCCTTTGACCAAGAAGCAGCCATTTGCAAAGCCAGGGTGGTAGCAGCCTTTGCCAAATCAAGGGGGCCTGACTTGGCTCCACCACCAAATGCTAAATCGATCTCTTCCCTCCCTCTGCAAATGACTCACACTTCCACTCCCCACCACATCCCTTCACTGGCTGTTCCAACAGCACGTTCGAACTCCCCACCCCTCTGCCCTGGCTTCTACTGTCTCTCCTCTCTTGCCCCTGAGCTCAGCTTGCTCTGCTCACCTTTTTGGGTATGCCTCTCCTTTCCTGTGCCTGGAACCTCAGCCCTCCTCGTTCTTCTCCTTCAGCTCCCTCCTTGAATCCTGCTGGCTCTCCCCTCTGCTGTCTGCTCCTGTCTTGCCCAACCTCAATCACCACTTAAACACGTGTCCGTGATCCACCGCTTTGTACTGTGAATCACATGATTCCTTCCAGCCCTCCCCTCCCTCTGTCTCTCCCCCGTCCTGTCCTGTGTCATCTTATTTAGACAAGAAGTTCTTTGAGGCAGGGACTGTGTCTCTCCCCTTCTTTAACCTGTGATGTGCCTTGCACAGTTGTGGCGTTGTATTAATACTTATTAGAGATGAGCATTAGTTGGCACAAGGGGTGGGAGCTGTGGTCCCTGCTAATCCGGGTGCTCTGAGCTCTGCCCCTTTATTTCGAGAGCGGTAACTGGGCAATTCTGCAGACTTAATCAACTGGCAGCTGATTAAAGGGAGGACTTCACATTGTTATCACATTTCCAGTGCGTACTAGCAGTCAGTGCCCAAACGGCACCGCGGTGGTCCTGCTTCCCAGCCTGTGGCAGCCTCGTCCAGAAGAGGATCTCCAGGGTCCTGCCCACATGGTAGTTTTGTCAGCGCTATCTTGCTTAGGCTTTTATCTCGCTGCCCATCTCTGTAATACATGGGCACCTTCCACATAAAATCCATAGCAATAACCAAGTGCGTAGTGGATTTCATGGAGTCTCTGGCATGTCTCCTTTCGGGGGTCAAAACTCTACTTGGAGGAGGGGTTTGCATTTGTTTACATTTTATTAATTTCCTCTCTTTTGATTGGTTGGGGCATAGGAGAGGAGGGAGGGTTGGGGGTGGGGGGCTGGGAGCAGGAGGGGGGCGGAGGGCTGGGGAGGTAGGAGGGAGGGTTAGGGCAGGGGGCATGGGGCAGGAGAGGGGGGTTGGGGCAGGGGGCATAGGGGCAGGGGAGGCAGTGTTGAGTGTCCTCCTTACTGTTCCTGCTATAGTTTGTAGGACTGGTTCTTGCAGACTGTTCTGGAGCTGGTGACTTTGCTGGCAGGGCTAGCCTGTGTGGAGTGACAAGAGCTTTCCTTTTCAATGGCCATTGAAAACCATCGTTAGCCCGGGGAGAGCCTAAGCTGGAGTGGATGTAAATGCCCATTTAAAAAAATTGCTTTCCCACCGCTGATCTTGATCCAGCAGAAGTTGTGGTGTGGGTGGGGTGTTATTGACCCTATCTGCCCAAGGTGGAAAAAGCTGCTCAGCGAAGCCTGGATGGGGATACTTGGAGCGGCTAGTATCAGTGCCCTACTTCCGCATGCACCGGCTGTCTCCGATACTGATTGGCTGCAGCGCCTGGGGGTGTAATCGTTAGCTCAGGGCCAGCTGACTGAGGGAGGTCTCCCATGGCTTCTCCTCATCGTGGATGGGAACCAACAAGTGTTGCAGCCACATCTGGCCATCTGGTCCTCCTAAGTCCCCCCTGCTGTGTAGCGGAAATTAGTCAAAAAAAGCCCCGATACCAGTCATGGTGGTGTTCCAATGTAGGCATCCCACTGCTGTCACATGCCCTCAGTGTGGCCCATCCTCGCGCACATGCTGAGCCATTACAAGGATAAATGAAGGAACTGGCCACTTCATGCCGTTGATGTCCTCGCATCTAGTGAATCTTTAGACCCTAGCTTCTGGCGGGGAGCAGGCCAGGTTGCATTTAAGGTGTAGGAATAAGATGGAAGATAGGTCTGTGGCCACCCCTAGGCTCAGACTCTGGCACAGAGGGGGCTGCGCAGGGAAGGAGTGTCCCAGAGTTATAAAGAAATCTGTATGACGAGACCATGTCGTTGTAGTTAGTCTTGTTGCTCAAGTGGTAGCAAGTAGCAATGTTAAATTTCTCTGCAAGGAGAGCAAGTGACCTTCCTTGGGGCCTGGCTGTGCTGCTCTCTGGGGGGGAAATGTACAGAGTGTGGCCAGCTCTGGCATCAGGAATAGCAGAAGATGTTGCACAAATGGACCAAGTGCCCCTTTCTTGAGTCTCCGCGTAGCTTCCTGCAATCTGGGGGAGAGGATTATTGGTGCTTCATTGCACCACCAGGTTTTGGGTCACTAGAGGGGACACCCCCCCCCCCCCCGGAGGTAATGGAAAATGGTAAGCAGCCAGCTGGAGGGCAGAGGAGACACCTCAGTACGGTGATGCCCACTAGGGAGAGCACTGTTGCGGATGGTGTTACGTGGAAGGCCCTCTGAGACTATGGTGATGGGTAGCTGTATAAAACCCTATGATAGGTAGTGCTAAGAAAACTGGAAATCTAACCAAAGAATTGTGTAACTCTTGGATGGCCTCTGTGGGAGAGAGAACCACATCTTCTAACCTGTCACCTCTTTAGAGAATGTTAAAGGAGCAGATAATAGCGATGTAGTTTACTTCGATTTTTCCAAAAAAGGTTTTAATAAGGCCCCTACTAGATGAATAAGGAAAACAAACAAGAAACAAAGACATTCTGTAGGAGCTTTTCAGATTGTGCAAAGGTTAGTCGTGGGAGTTCCCAGGTCAGCAAGAGGACTTGTGTTTGTTAAATAACAGTGATTTGGAGGAGGAAGGGGACAGCGAGATGGTGAAGTAAGATCAAGGGCCTTCTCCAGCTCCCGTTGGAGTTGACGAGAGTCTTTCATTGCCTTAAACAAGCTGGTTCAGGCCATCAGTGAGTGAAAACGATGGAGGATTGTGAGAATCTCCAGCTGGCTTCTAACATATTGATGGTGGGAGTGTGGGGTGCAGGGCAATGAGGCAGTAGATGAAATTACACTTGAAGGTAATTGGAGAATAGTGAGTAATTCTCAAGCAGGACTGTCTCCTTTGCTGCTCACAGAATAGACACGAGTGGTTTGCTGGTTCCTTAGCTTCATTCATTGTTTGCAATTCGACCGTTTGTTAATGAATTGTTGTAACTCTTGCTTGCGCACAGCTCCCTGCGAGCATTTGTACGTGAGCTGTACGGGTTAGGTAAACCGCCTGGTATTGTTTCTGGTTTGTGATTGGTTGAGCAACACAAGCTTGTCCTTCTGCAGCACTTGCCCATTTAAAATCCAGTGGTGATGACTTCACGGCATTGCACTCTGAAGTTTTATTTCACACAGATGTTCTTGCTGGCCAAACTTACTGTCACCTCCGTGCTCACAGGAAGCGAGAGCAGCCAAACTCATAACACAGCGAGTGACTCTTCATGGGGGATCTTTGCAGCGTTCCCCGCAGCTGGCGCATTGGCAGCAATAGTCCAACCTTCTCTGTGGGATCATTGTGGGGAAAGGGTTAGGAGTTACTGAGATCAGCGACGAGCGATTGCCCACTGCACAGAAAACAAACAGGTGCACAGCATGCTATTTGAGCTGAACACACATAGGGTGACCAGATGTCCTGATTTTATAGGGACAGTCCCAATTTTTGGGTCTTTTTCTTATATAGGCTCCTATTACCCCCACCCCCATCCCGTTTTTTCACACTTGCTGTCTGGTCACCCTAAGCACACATCAGCCAAGCCCCACGCACAGAGCTGCTTCTGTGCGCACAGCAGACATTTTACCTGTTGTCAAGCTGTCCATCTTGCAGGCACTGGGAGCAGGGACAAGATTGGTACGAAAGGTGGCTTCTAGATGGAGGCAGCGTTGTTGTAGCAAGGTTGGTCTCAGGCTATTAGAGAGACAAGGTGGGTAAGCTCAAAAGTTCATGTCTCTCATCAGCAGCAGTTGGTCCAATAAAAGATCTGACCTCACCCACCCTGTCTCTCAGATGGCTTCTAGTGTCTCAGCCGTTCTAGCCAGACCATAATTGAGGCTAGGGCCATCTGCCTATTCAGGGAGGTGATGTCCGCTCTGCTCCCAGCGGTCTGGCTGTACTGAGTGGATCAGTCTGCTGTTCAGACTGATTTCTTTTCAGTTGAAATCCATCACTTTTTATCTTAGTTTGAGAGATTTCATCTCTCTCCCGTGCAGGCTCCCTTTATCTTCCACAATCCCATCTCAGTTTTCCAGGCTGTAGATATGTACTTTCCCTTAGCCCATGGAACCTGCCATGCCCCTCTAATTGCACGCCAGGTAAGTATAAAGAACAGGAGTACTTGTGGCACCTTAGAGATTAATAAATTTATTTGAGCATAAGCTTTTGTGGATTGCAGTGCTCCCCATGCCCTGCAGCTCTTTGATTACACAAGGGTGTCTCCTCATCTGCTTCTCCAGCTCCCTTTTCTGTACCTTCCAGCTCCCTGCCTCTCATCTGTTCCTCATCTCAGTTCCAGCTTCCTCACCCCATCCTGCACCCTGTCTCCTCCTTCCCCTGCTTGTCTTATTCAACATTTATTTTCCCTATTTTCTCCTGATTATTATTAAATACAAACCGGGCTAATGGGGTTAATTTTCCTTGTAATCCATCCACCCCATCCTAGCTGCTCTCCTGTACACCTCTGTTTCACCTCTCTGTTTCACTGTCCTATAGTTGTTGTCCCCCCATGCCACAGTCAATGTGTTTAACCATTTCATCCTCCAGTTTCTTATGCTGGTTTCCTCTGCATTTATCCTCCTCAACGCTCCCTTTATTCTCTGCCTAAAAGGAGCACCACTGCAGTGTCTTGTTTAATTATGTCCAATTTGCAGGTGACCGGACTAAAGATCAATGTATTTTCCATCCTCTCCTCCAGCATGTTTGTGAAACACATTAGAGTCTTGGTCCAGTGAAGGACGAAATCCAATGGCTGTAATTTCCCAACCTAATTCTCTACCTCTTACCATTTCTTGATGTCTTTTAGTGCTTTTGGGTGCTAGCTGGACCAGTGCTCTCCAAACACCTACGCTCAGTTTTTATTGTCTCTCCAGCTTCGCTGTCCTAGCTAGTCTGCCTCTTTCTAGTTTCTCGGTGACTGTCGTGTGACCCTGTGTGAAGTGCCTTTGCAAACTCCTGGTACTGTGTATAATCTCCTCTGCGTTCCCCTTCTCCATTACACCAGTTAGCTTGTCAAAGAGTGAGATTAAAATAGATTTGCATGAGCTGTTTTTAGAAACCTGTGCTCGGTGTTTTGCACAACACGTTTCCCCCCCACCCCCCAACCACCAAATGTTCGCTAGCCAGGCTATTTGAATTTGTTACAAAGTCCTGCCTAGAAGAGCCATGAAAGCACTTTTCTGCGTAACACCCAGGGAGCTACGGGGCGATGTTAATAATTGGTCTCTATTTCTCTAGATCTCCCCTGATCCCAGGTTGAAAATCGCCCTGACACCAGTGACCTCTCCTGCCTTCCATGAGCAGTTGACGACGGCTCCAAGTTAATTCCTTTAATGCCCTTGAGTAGGTTCCGCTGGAGCCTGCTGATTTTTAAGCAGGCTCCCCACCCTCCCGATATTCCCTCACTTGCTCTTGAACAATTCTGCTGCTTCTCTCGTTTGGCTCTTCACCTCCTTCTCCGCTACCTGATTGCTCATTACTGACATTCTTCTCTTGCTGGAGCTGAAGTGAAGTTGGCATTTAGTACTTCAGCCCTGTAATTTGTTCCCCTTCCTACCTTGTTCTCTCCCTCCCCCTGGGATGTTATTTTTAAAAAGTCTTTTGCTTCCTCCCTCCCATTCACATCCCAACACAGCAGGTCTTGCAGGATCTGGACCACTGCGACAAGCTAACCAGGGTGGGGCCCAGTCTGTGCTTGATGGGAGACCTCCTACCTGTGGTAAACCCTCTGACTCTTGGGACAGTGGCTGCTGACCCCAGTGCCCCTGGGAGAGGCGCTCTGCTGCAGGGACTGGGTGCAAGGAGGTAGTGCTCTGCCCTCCTGA